CCCAACCCAGATCTACAATCAGACTCTCTAGGAGCAAGGAGAAAATTATAGGACTCCCATAGTTAACAAGCACTCCAGGGATTCTAATCCTCAAACAGGCTTGGGAAACACCACCTTAAAAGAGTCAGGAGGCTGGGTGCAGTGGTTCACGCCTATAATCCCAGCACTCTGGGAGGCCGAGGTGAAAGGATTGCCTTGGGTTCGAGATCAGCCTGGGTAACTTGGTGAAACCTCATCTCTACAATAAATCAAGAAAAATTAACTGGGCGTGGTAGCGCACGCCTGTAGTTCTGGCTACTTGGAAGGCTGAGGTGGAAGGATCACCGGAGCCCAGCAGGTCAAGGTTGCGGTGGCCGTGAGCGTGCCACCGTACGCCAGCCTGGGCGACAGAGTGAGACTCCGACTCAAAAGCAAACAAATAAAAAGAGTTAGGAATCCAAAAATTCACAGAATTCTCCACCAAATCTTATAAATTGTGATCCCCCTACCAAAATAACCCAGTCTTGCTGAGGAATTAAGACATCTAGCATAAAATTTAGGTAACAGTGATGGCTAGGTCCTTGACTGCTCATCAAAGTCCAAGTAAGGCTAGAAGGAAAACTTCAGGAAGGCAGTCCTGCCTGTTGCCTTGTCACACATTCATTTTTCTGTCCTTTAGTTTTTCCTCATCTTCTTAGGTAAAAACCATCAATTAAAAAATATCAACATAGCTGAAATATACAATACACTTGATGGCTTTTTATTTTTCATATTTGTTTTACTTTTAATTGACAGACACTAATTGTATATATTTATGGGGCAAAGCGTAATGCTTTAATGCATGTATACATTGCAGAAGAATCAGGCTAATTGACATTACCCCAAGTATTTATCGGTTCTGTATGGTGAGAACATTTAAAATCCATTCTTTTGGCTATTTTGAGATAAACATCATTATTAACTTAGTTACCATGAATTTGCCTTTCCCTCCTAACAGAAATTACGTTCCCACTAGCTACTGTCTCTCTCCCCTTTCCCTGTCCACCACCCTACCCCAGGCCTGGTAACCGGCATTCTGCTCTCTACTTCTGTGAGTCTGACTTTTTAAAATTCCACATACAAGTGAGATGACATGGTATTTCTCTTTCTGTGCCTAGCTTATTTCACTTAATGTCATTTGACAACAAATTACAGAATTTCCTGTTTTGTTAAGCCTGGATGATACTCTGTTGTGTGTCTAAACGACTTTCTTTACCCACTGGTTGGCACTGGCTTGTTTTTTGTTTGTTTGTTTGTTTGTTTTTGAGTTGGAGTCTCACTCTGTTGCCCAGACTGGAGTGCAGTGGCCGCTTCCGGCCACCACAGCCTCAACCCGCTGGGTCCCGGCGATCCTTCTGCCTCAGCCTTCCAAGTAGCTGGAACTACAGGCGCGTGTTACCACACCCAGCTAATTTTTGATTTATTGTAGAGATGAGGTCTCGCTGCCCAGGCGGGTCTCAAACCCGCAGGCTCAGGCCATCCCCTCATCCCAAAGCGCTGGGATGACAGGCTTGAGCCACCGCGCCCGGCCGGCACTGGGTTGTTTTTACATCTTGGCTGTTGTGAATGTGCCGCGGTGAACATGGAGTGCAGATATCTCTTCGGCATACTGGCTTCAGCTCCTTTGGCTCTTCCCCGAAGTCTGATTGCTGGATCACACTTCACTGTGTAGCCATTGATTGGCAGTGCTTTCTGAGTTCCCATGGTGCCCTTTGAGATGGGGCCCGTTGTGCCCATGGAGCTGCTGGGGGAGCAGAGGTGAGCATGCCTCAGTTTATACCTGCCCTAGGACTTTGCCTGTTTTGCAGGATGCACTCTTAATTTGAGCATTTGTTGCAGAAACACAGCACTGAAACAATGATGTACAGCATGTAGCCTGGGTACAGAATTTTAGTAAATAAATTTTTCCTTTTGCTCTTGTCAACACTGCAGAAACTAGAAGTAAATATTCTGCTGAGATTGTACTTAGTTGGCTTTGTTTTCCACTTAGGAAAACACTGGAAAAGCCAGAAAATTCCAGAGTGCATGATCCATATAAATTCATGTTCACACCGGGTACAGCAAATGTGTCTTTTTTTTTTTTAAGTCAGGGTGTTACTCTGTCTCCAAGCTTAAATGCAATGGCACAATCACAATGATCACGGCCCACCGCAGCCTCAGCCTCCTGGGCTCAGGCATCCTTCCACCTCAGCCTTCTGAGTAGCTGGGATTATAGCCGTGTGCCACCACGCCCAGCTAATTTTCAGAGTTTTTGTTTTTGTTTTTGTTTTTGTAGAGATGAGGTCTCACTCTGTTGCTCAGGCTGGTCACAATCTCCTGTGCACAAGCGATCCACCCGCCTCGGCCTCCCAAAATGCTGGGGTGACAGGCACGAGCCACCATGCATGGCCACCAGTCTGTTTTCAATTATAAAGTTTAAAAACATAGCTGTGTCGTTCAGTGATGGGGCATGACATCAACTAGCCAGAGGAAGCTGTATGTAAAGCCACTCGCCACGGTGTAATCCTCCCACACCACGCTGCCTGAAAAGTATCCAGGGAATTAGGAAAATAACCAGGGCTGAGTTTTCAGTCAGTTGATATTTTTCACTTTTTCTAGTGCAGGAAGTCTTTAGTAATACCATCATTTCAGTAAAAAGGAAAATCATTTTGTTCTATTTGAACCACAGCAGCGTTATTAAGAACTCAAAGTATGTTGTAATGGAAATAAATGCCATCGGGCTCTCTAGAGATGACTGGACTTTTCTGCGTTTCGCATACCCTGATCACAGATGGAAAAAAAAATGTAACCTAAAATAATCTATCCCTTTATACAACGAGATATTTCTCTTGTCTCTTTGTAACAGGTTATAGTGTACAGACATTAGCAGAAATGTATAGTTTAAGTTTCCATTTTAAATTTAAATTGAAGCCTTATGAAATTTGTTCACATCATTATTTAAAAGGTAGAGAATGGTATACCTGTTTTTACCTCTTAAATGTTGTAAAATCTCTATACCCTCATACCAGTATACTCTCATACCTATTCAAAAATATATTTTTTTTATTTATTTATTTATTTTTTGACTTGGAGTCTCACTCTGTCACCCAGACTGGAGTGCAGTGGCATGGTCCCAGCCACCACAGCCTCGAGCTGCTGGGCTCCGGCGATCCTTCCGCCTCAGCCTTCCAAGTAGCTGGAACTGCAGGCACGTGCTGCCATGCCTGGCTCATTTTTGATTTATTGTAGAGACTAGGTCTCGCTAAGTTGCCCGGGTGGATTCTCAAACCCGCGGGCTCAGGCAATCCACTCACCTCAGCGTCCCAAAGTGCTGGGATTACAGGCTGAGCCACTGAGCCTGGCCCAAAAATATATTTTAAAAAGGGGTAGAGAGAAATCTTCAGTTAATAAAAAGGAAAACTGTTCGGAAAATTATTTCATTTTGTCTTTGTACACTCAGTAGACGGAGTTACAAAGCTATCAGGAAGAATGGGATAAAAAGACAGAAAAAATCCTGTCTGTGTGATTATAAGATAATTATAGGATATCTAATATTTGGTCAATTTCTTAAAAAACTAGCATTTTAATCCTTTCAGAAGTCTGAAACATAAATGCTAGGAAATTTTTAATCTCCTATAAATCCTTTTTTTTTTTTTGAGTTGGAGTCTCACTCTGTCGCCCAGACCGGAGTGCAGTGGCACGCTCCCGGCCACGGCAGCCTCGACCCACTGGGCTCCGGCGATCCTTCCACCTCAGCCTTTCAAGTAGCCAGAACTACAGGCACGCACTACCACACCCAGCTAATTTTTGATTTATTGTAAAGACGAGGTCTTACCAAGTTGCCCAGGCAGGTCTCAACCCCGCGGGCTCGGGCAGTCCACTCACCTCAGCCTCCCAAAGTGCTGGGAATCTTAATTCTATGTTATATTTCCTCCTCCCATCTTATATTTCAAGAAATTTTCGCAAAATAGCACTTTCTGATGAACATTTTCACTGCAACTGACTTAACTCCCTTTTTAAGACAGCATAGTTTTGAAGAGAAGAGAGGAGGAATATTCTATTGGCAGCTAGGCATTAAGAGTGTAGGCTTTTGGAGTTAGGATAGACTTGGGCATTTTCTAATTTTCTTTCTTGTAAGAGGACCTGTCTTACCCTCTTAACAAGATTACAAACAACTTGCAGGCAGGAACCGTGACTTATTTATTGTCCTATCAGCAGCTACAGAATATTAAAGTCAGTGTACTCATAAAAATACTTAACAAATAAAGGGATGATTCTAAAAGCTTCCAGAAACTGTTCGTAAGGGGATTCCAGACTCCCCTCAAAAATATCTCAAAAATATTTCTCGACATAACTTTTCACTAACAAGTTCTTCCATTCATTTAACCAACCTTCTCCCATCTTGCTGCCGTTTTGGACCATTTATTCTTACTGTTCTTCAAGAAAATTGAAGAATGTTTGAGCAACTTCTGCATATTAACTTCTTTACATTTTTGGCAGCTATCACAGTGTTACACTTGAATTAGTATTTACACGGATGAATACTTAATATATATTTCATTGCCCTTTGCTTTTTTCTTTGTTGTGATAGCAACATATAGCATGAAACCTATTGTCTTAAATTTTTAATTGTACAGTACAATAGTGTAAATATATGCACATCGGCATACAGCAGATGTTTAGAACTGTTCATCTTGTGTGACCGGAACACCATATCCATTGAATAGGCGCTCCCTCCATCCCTACCCACTCTGCCGCTACTCAGCTTTCTGCTTCTAAGAGGTCTCCTAGTTTAGAGACCTCATAAGTAGATTCTTGCAGTTTTTGGTCTTCTGTCATGGCCCTTTTCATAGTTATAATTTCTTTACTCCATCTGTATTAAACTCTCTTATTTCTCCAATGTTCTACATTGGAGCTCGTTTTTTACACCGATTTAAATGTCAAATTGAATACTAAGCTGAAAGAATAAAGTGCCATTGTAAACCTGTGTTGGTATATCTTAGAAACAAGTTCATCTTGAGCAGTGCTACATTGCTACCGTCTCCAAAGCGTACAATCGCCGCGGTCCTCAGATCTATCCTGAGGACCACAGCATGCTGACCCAAAAGAATCTCAAACAGTCTGTTACCCAGATTATCATCAGCAGTGGAGATGGGGGACAGCGTAGGGGTGGGATTAAAGCCCGAGAAATGAAGCGATGGTCAGTGATGCCTTAGGCCACATCACTTGGTCATAAGAATAACTGACTTTACGGCCTTTTTGAATCAGTGCGGTTTTGAAGAGAAAAGAGCCTACATATTTCACACAGTAATGCTCCATCAAAAAATATATAGTGTGGTAATATTTGGACACTTTTGAAATCATAAATACATTAATTTTTTCTCTAGAATCAAATACACCAAACTCTTTCATTGTGTTGGGGAGTGAGGTTGTTAAGCGATTTTGACCATATAGACAATAGGGAATTGAATTATAAAGGGAGACTTTTACTTTTCATCTTATATTTTATTGTTTGTTTACTTTTGCTTGTATTGCTTTTATTTATATGTAAAAACTTAAACTGTTTAAATAGCTCTTCGCTAGACAAAAATGTTGTTATGACCATGTAGCACCTTCACCCACAACTGGTAATTTTTTCCTCCAGGGTTTAAAACCTACACTGTGTTTTGAAACATATTTGCTAATTTTCATTATTGATGGTCAAATTAAGGGAAGAAGCATTATTTCACAAGTCTGAAATCTGGTCTGAGAAGGATATCAGAGAAGGAGTTTTATCAAAGTATAGTCGCTACTGCTATACAGTATCCCCAAAACGTAGTGACTTCAAGCAGGAACCACATGTTGAGTCCATAGTTCTACGGGTGAACCACCTGGCCAGTAGTGTCTGTGGACTACACCAAGCTCAGCTGATCTCAGCTGGGTCCCCTCAGCGTGGCACGGTCAACTTCTAGGTGGGCTGGGAATGAGCTCATCTAGCATGGTCTCTTCTGGAATGGCTGTGTCTGCCCCTGTGGTCTCCCCCCAACAGACTGGCACAGCCTCCTTCACCTGAGCATTCGTTGGAGTTCCGAGATATCAAGCAGATGGGGGCAAGGGCCTTAAGGCTTTGGTCAGAATTGGCCAGAGTCAGTAACTCCACTTTCATCACATTCTAGGTTAGAGCGATTCACAAGGTCAGCCCGGATTCGAGGCCTGGGGGAAAGACTGCACCTCGCCGGAAGGCATCGCAGGGTCACACCACAGAGGCTGTGGATACAGAGAAAGGAACAATTGCAGTCACTTTTACCAAAAAATCTACAGTACAGGGTCTTATGCTATCCAGATAACAAGTGAATAACAAATATCAGACATATATCACTTTTCTTAGCATTTGCCAGCACGATCATCTTTATTTTACTGGTACAACATGGGCAAATGTTCAACCTAAAACAGTCCATCCACTCTAGATATCACTTCCTTTTTTGGTTTTTGTTGTTGTTGTTGTTGTTGTTTTTTGAGTTGGAGTCTCACTTCATCGCCCAGGCTGGAGTGCAGTAGCACCCTCACGGCCACCACAGCCTTGATCTACTGGGCTCAGGCAATCCTTCTGCCTCAGCCTTCCAAATAGCTGTCACTATCGGCGCGTACCACCATGCCTGGCTAATTTTTTGATTTATTATAGAAACGAGATCTGACCATGTTGCCCAGGCTGGTCTCGAACCCACGTACTCAGGCAATCCTCTCACTTTGGCCTCCCAAAGTGCTGGGATGACAGGCTTGAGCCACTGCACCTGGCCGATTTCGTTTCCTTTTTATGGTAATGGCTAATGCTCGCTGGCCACAAAGCATTTGCTGAAAGCCAGGCCCTGTCTCAAGCACAGTGTATTGCAATCACAGGAACAGGAGCTGTTAGGAGTTTGGAGTCTGGAGCCCAGCTTGGTTTGAATTCTAATTTTGGCACTCGTTAACTATATGACCTTGGGCAAATCAATTCACCTTGTTGTGCTTTAGTTTCCTCTCTATCGATGGGTTAAGAAGAAACACTGACATCGCTCAGAGGTTGTCATGAAGACTAAACGTAAATTAATCTATGTTACGTGCTTGTAACAGTACCTGGCACATGGTGAGGGTTATGTGGCTCCTAGCTGTTGCCACCAGCACCATCATCCCTCAGAATAGCCCTGTGATGGTTAAGCCTGTGTGTCGTGCGCGACTCACAAGCCCTGTAAGGTCGGTTCTGTTATTGTCTCCATGATGTGAATGAGAGTGTCACGTTCAGGGAGATTGATGGAAGTCACAGGGTGAGATGTGGCAGGAGCCTCTTGATGCCCTGGCAGCAGTTTCGAGCCTGGCCTTGGCTGGACAATCTGGACAATGCTACATGGCACTGTCCTCCCATGTGACAGGCTGCTCCAGAACACCGTCTGCAGGCCAAACTCTTGTGGTGATGTTGTCTTTTCCCCACTGACAGCCTTTCAGAGGAGCTTGTTTTCCCCATTAGTTGGTTTCCAGGTGAGAAGTGTAGAGGCTGCCGTATGGTGTAGAAAGAGCCTGTGACAGTCACCTACACAGGTGGTGCAGAGGGAAGCCACCTCTCCACTGCAGGGTGCGAGGCATCTCATGTCATTGCCACAGGTGCCCCATAGGGACTTTTTCTAGGATGACGCATGCATTTATATAGTACCTTTTGTTTACCACACATACACCTAGGACAAGGTCTGACTATTAGGTTCACAAACCATCCCAGAAAAAGTGCTCCATACCTCAGTGCTGAATATCACTACCGTCACCTTGGAAGTACTCCCCTTGGGAAGCGATGCACTGACGCCAGCGCCTAGTCCGCCCATCCAAGCAATTTTGGAACTCTTTTTCTGGAATGACCATCAGCTGTCGTTATTTGTGGAGGTCTGACAAGCAAGTCCGCGAACTTGCCACTGTGCTCTCACATTGGCAGCACTGTACAAATAACTGTGTGGGAACCCCCTCCCTACTCACCTGATCTGGCCCCCAGTGACTTTTTTCTTTTCCTGAAGATAAAGGAAACATTTAAAGGAAAACATCTGATGATTCAGGACATCAAGGGTAATATGACAACAGCTCTGGTGGCCATTCTGGACAAAGAGTTCCAACATTGCTTTGATGGGTAGACTAGGCATTGACATCACGGCATTGCTTCCCAAGAGGAGTCCTTCGAAGGTGACCGTAGTGATAGATTCAGCAATGAGGTATGAAGCACTTTTTCCAGGATGAGTTTGTGAACTTAATTGTTGAACTGCTTATGGTTTCTATACCACGCATATGCCCAGTATACTTTATATATCACACATACACGTAGTATATTTTGTACAGCATGTGTACACCTAGTATAGTTTGTATGCCACACATATACCTAGTACATTTTATATACCATGCATGCACTTTGTACATTGTATATACCACTTATATGCCTAGTACAGTTTGTGTACCATACATACACGTAAATGTTGTATACCACGTAAACACCCAGTGCATTTTATATATCACACACACACCTAGCACATTTTGCATACCACATATATACCTAGCACTTTTTATATACCACTGAAACACGCAGTATATTTCATATACCACACATACACGTAGTACATTTTGTATATCACAATATCTCTAGTATATTTTGTATACCACTTACCCACCTACTCCATTTCATGTACTACACATGCGCTAGTCAGCTTTGTACACTACAATATACCTAGGACAATTAGTATTCCACCTAGAACATATACCCCATCTCATAGGTGAGGAAGGAAGGTAAGACTGCCCTTGTCCAGAATCATGAAGAAGCGGTCTGATGCCAAAGCCTTTCCTGCTAGGACGAAATGCTGAATTAATGTAAAGGAGTCTTCTACCGCGAATGCTTTTGTGAGACTGTTCTGCGACTGTCATTGCCTAGTGTGCTTGTAAAGTGACTTGTGCGGTTCCCTCTGACGAGTGATCCCCTAACTTCCCTTCCAGAGGAGATCTGCACCCTCGTCATCGCCGAGACCTTCCCCGAAGATGCAGGGATCTTCACGTGCTCAGCCAGAAATGCCTACGGGTCAGCAGCCAGCACCGCCCAGCTGGCTGTCACCTCAGGTACGTGTGGAGCGAGACACGACGGGCCCGCTCCCCAGCCCCGTGGTGCTGGCAGCTTAGGAAGGAGCTGTCCCGAGGATGGCCCCAGGCTCCAGGATGGTCGTGCTGCCTCGCGACTCAGAGGCCATGGGGGGGGGTGCGGTGCAGACCCGAAGCAGAAAGGTCACGGTCGCGGAACAGCCAGACCCACAGAAGCCTCCTGTGCTGTGTTGTGCTGTCTGGGTCTCGGGGACATGGACTGGGGTCCCCACCACTTCCTGCTGACCTGAAGTCACAGCCGTACCCAAAGGTGCCTCCAGACCGCAGGTGTGGCTGCTCTCAGCAGGGCCAACACATGAGAACTGGAGATATGTATGCAAACAAACGGTGGTCTTGCCCACCACTAGAGGTTTCAAGAAGGTCACACAAGATAAACTCAGAGAGGCTGTAAAGATCTTAGAAACCTAATGCCACTGAGAGTATATATCAGTGATCGTGGATAACTGACATCAAAAGTAAAGCAATGTGTTGTATTATTGAAACCAGTATTCAAAAGTCTAGGCACACTGACCACTGGGGAGGGCAATATGAAGAGTTTTTTGCTTTAAAAAAAAAATTCAGTTCTGTGGGTTCGAGGACAGTCTGGGCAACTTGGCAAGACCCCGTCTCTACAATAAATAGAAAATTAGACGGCCATGGTAGTGCACGTCTGTAGTTCTGGTTACTTGGAAGGCTGAGGCGAAAGGATCGCCAGAGCCCAGCAGGTCGAGGCTGGGGTGGCCATGAGCGTGCCACTGAGCTCCTGCCTGGATGACGGAATGAGACTCCAGCTCAAAAAAAAACCAAAAAAAGGATTTAGTTGACAGTCTCCTGCGATCACAAACGAGCTTTAGCTTCCTTTAACTGCCTCATCTCTGCCATTCACCTTCTGGAGATTTTTAAACACGTCCTTGACCGGGTCTGGCACATAATACACACAGCAGGGGTCCCCAGGTGGGCCCAAGGTGGGCGAGATGGACTTGGAGTGGGACCCAGCGGCACTTGGATTCCTCCGAAGAACCAGAACGTGGTGCTAGAGGGCAGCAGAGCACGACGAGAGCAAGCCCCAGCGCTGCTGGAGGGACTCATGGCCGCCCCGAAGGCTTTTTCATCCTAATTAAGAAATAAATGTGAGGCTCCTCTCAAGGGGAAAGCGGTTGGTGGGACTAGGCACTTCCCATGTGGCAAGGAGACTGCAGCATCGTGGGGTTCTGGCACCGGAAGGACCCTGGCATTTGGATTCTGAGTTGGCTTGAAGGTGGCCCGTCGAATGGCCGTGGGTAGTGAGGTGTTCATGCCACCGGCCAAAACCTGGGATCGCTGGCTCTGAGGGTCACACACTGGCCTGCGGTGTTCTCCATTCTCCTCTGGGGCAAATCTGTAGGCCAGGTGCCGTCCGCAGATGCTTTACTTGCGAGCCGTCCGTTGCCCTCCACAGGTGTTTGAGCGCAGGCCAGGGGCTCTGCTGGGGTGAAGAATCCAGAGACGGATCTCAGGGCTTCGGCCTCCTGAGGGTTGCAAACGACAGCCTCTTCTACTCTGGGTTACAGTTGGGAGCGTCATCTGACACAGAAAACATATACTATTAGCTACTGAGACATTTCACCTAGACTCAGAGCGTTACCTTCTTAGCTTTAAAATAGAATGAAGGGCTGGGCTCGATGGCTCAGCCTGTAATTCCAGGGCTTTGGGAGCCCGCGGGTTCGAGACCCACCTGGGCAACTTGGCGAGACCTATCTCCACAATAAATCAAAAGCTAGCAGGCATGATAGCACGTGCCTGTAGTTCCGGCTACTTGGCAGACTGAGGTTGAAGGATCGCCAGAGCCCGGCAGGTCGAGGCTGTGGTGGCCGGGACCATGCCACTGCGCTCCAGTCAGAGTGATGGAGTGAGACTCCAACTCAAAAAAATAGTAAAATAAAATAGAATGAAGACCCACAGAAAACCTGGGTTGCTTGAGCCAATGTCAGTAAAGACAGGGGATGTCCAGCTGGATGCATGGACCGTAATGTGAGAGGGCTAAGCATTATTCGTTTGTGTGGGTTCTTGTTTTTCCAACCAAGTCCTGTCTTTAGCTCTTGTTTGAAATGCATTGGTGCCTCGGCATCTGGTCTCCCACCTAAGGGTTCAGTGGGCAGTGAAACAGGTAGCACCCACTGGCGACATGCTGAGGCATGCTGAGCCCTCCAGCCTTGGTGCCTCCGTGGCCTCTGGGAGCAGCAATGCCACCTCTCCCCAGTAACTGAGCAAGACGCAATCTTCTCAGAAGATGAAGGTGGTGTGAAGGCGTCTGTTGAACTCCTAGCTTCTCATATTCTTTCTTCTCTTTCCCTTCCTCAGCCAACGTTGAAAACTGCAGCTACGACTCGATGGCAGAAGCCAACAGTGATCCCTTCCAGCACTTTCCACCTCCTCCTCCAGCCTTGGAGACAAGTTCCCCCGAGCTGGTGTCCAAGAAACTCTCCGAGCTCCAGCAGGTGAACAGCCCAGAGCCAGGCCCGGGCAGGGCGGCCCCTCGCACGCAGTTCCATCAGGCAGAGAGGGACGCTAACGGGGTCCGCCCCGGCCACGGGGCCAGCGGGCTGCTGAATGGCGAGCCGGACGGGGCGGAATCCCTGCCAGCGCCAGCCATCCTGCCCTCACCCACGAAGGCGCCGCCGCCTCTGCTGGCCAAACCCAAACTGTGAGTGTTTCTGGTGGTTTCGTAATCGTTTCCATTCCCTGCTACCTCTCCTCTTGGGTCAGAGAAACGCTTTGCCTGGACTCGACGCTGGCAGGGTGCCGCTTCTGCCGGCGAGCTGTCCTTGACCGGTGTGGCCTTGTGGCCAGGCAGGGGCCTTCGGAAATGCGAAAATAGCTCGAAGCAAGCGAGGCAGAGGAGAGGCTTGGTTAGATCGGCCCTGGTTGTGGCTGTGACGATGTCTGGGCCTGGCACAGGTTCCAACACACAGCTGAGGCTGTGCCACTCTCCAGGGGCCAGGGAAAGGGGGTCCTCCCTGGAGGCCTCTCCTAACAGCATTTCCAAATCTCCATGATTGCTTCCAACAGAGGTGCCAGTGAGGATAGCTGATGTGGACACACAGAGGCAGGCTGGACGCTGGGACAGGAATTCAGCAAGCCGGTCCTGGAGAGGGGTGGGAAGTAGGCTTGTCAGGAAGGAGATCCCCTGCCTCACCACACCACCACACACACACACCACTGCTTGGCTACAGGACTTCACAGAGCCACACAGTTCTGTGAATGCCATTGCATAGTCTATTCCATTGTCTCAGCATGAGGACCCTAGCGTGAGCCATCTCCGGGGCTGTTGTGAGTGGAGCTGTTACCATGTCAGAGGCAGAAGCCATGAGCTCCAACGGGTCTGTCGTGGCACCACAGACCTCGAATCACTGCCTGAGTGGCTGGTGGAAAGATCAGGGTCGCGTTGGCTGTGCATCTACTCTACAACAGCAGTCCCCAACCTTTTTGGCAACAGAGACCAGTTTTGTGGAAGACAGTTTTTCCTGGGATCATCAGGCATTCGATCCTCACAAGGAGCGTGCAACCTAGATCCCTCGCGTGTACCGTTCACAGCAGGGTCCGCGCCCCTGGGAGCATCGAATGCAGCCGCTGGTCTAACAGGAAACAGAGCTCTGCTTGCCCGCCACTCCCCTCCTGCTGTGTGGTCATTCCTCACAGGCCACGGACGGGTACCGGTCCCCAGACCAGGGGTTGGGGACCTCTGCTCTGTGAGGTCACATATTTCCATAAGAATGCATCTGCCCGGGTCTCGGAAAGCTCCCGTGACATCTGATGTTTCTGACTTGGGGCAGGAAGGGTTTCTTTGGAGCGGAGTTGTTTTTTGTTTCCTACTACTGAGCGGCCCACTGCCTTCTGGGGTCAGCCCGTTTGTTAGAAATGTTAAAAATATATCAGATACTCCAATTAGCATGACACCCTACATTTGTAGGGCACTTTATCGTGCACCGAGTAATTTCGTGAGCATTATTAGACTCAAATAACAAATCAGCTGTAAGAACTGTGTGCTGCGGTTCCAGACATCTACCTAGTGCCACCCTCCGCCTGGGTCCGTGTTCTGTCTTGGCTCTTTCTGAAGGCAGCGGGGCTGCTTCTAGGTCTGTGCAGTGGTGCTCACAGCTGGGGGTCACCACATCCCTGTGCACCAGCTCCATTGAGAGGTCAGCCAGGTCAAACGAGCTTAAACATCACAGCCTTAAAAGAGATTTCTACACTCTCGTAACACCAGTCCGTAAAATTAACTTCCACCACCCACTTCGCTCTTCTTTGTATTATGCGTGTGTGTTTGTGGTACTTTTAGCGACAACAAGGGATCTGCTCCCAGGAAGAAAGGGCGACTGTGTTTAGTGGCGAGGACTTGGCTGCACTCTCCATCAGGTGAAATCCATCTAAAAGTCGTCATCAATGGGATATAGATCCCGGGAAAGCAGACGTGGGTGCTGTTAACAGGCCTTGACAGCCTCTCGTGTCAGGAGTGCCAGCAGGTCCGCAGCTGGTGGCTCTGGCAGTGACGTGTATGAACGGGGTGATGTCTGCAAGACACACAACACAGCTCTGAGGTCCCAGGTGAATCGCTGAGGCACCCATTTGAAGGGCGAGTCGGGACTGGCTTGTGAATCAGGTCTTCACTAGGAAATCAAGTGCAAAAGGAATGAACTTCAGTGCTCAAGACTCAGGTCTTTCCTTCCAAGATGAAATGTTGGAACAGGAAGGGCCACCTGGACACAGAGCCAGTGGCTTAGGAATGACGTCTTCTGGTCCCAGGTTTCACCACTGGTTTCTTCCCTCCAACCTTCGCGTGCTTACATATGGTCTTAGAGTATTCCTTGATGATTTTCACGTGGCATCATTACCTAGTGTTTAACTGGGCAGAAAATAATGAGTGACGATACTTTAAAATAGATGTTGGTTTTTGAGTTTTCTTATGATTTGCAATACTCTGTTGGCTTTCGTTCCAATTACAAAATAAATGCATGCCTCGTGTGACACTTGGAAGGACACAGGGATTAAAGAAAAAGTTGGGACGCTACTTTCCCTCTTCTAAGCTCCCCTAGAAGTAGCCCGTGCCGTCAGTGTGATGTGGGGCCTTCTTCCTTTCTCCGCAGTCATAGCCTTTTCTAAAAGGGTTTGCTCCTGGTTTTCAAAACTGTACCCACTGGTAGAGAAGTGTTGTGGAGTGACATCTGCCAACAGTGCAGGATGGCGTCCGTGCTACAGATAACTGCTGGGGACGGGTGATGGTCACACAGGTTCTCACATGGGTCTGTAGGTTTGTTGTTAGACATCGAAAGAAAACATTCGCCTTCACTTTCTCCATGGCCAGCAGTGAAGAGCCATGGTTTCCTCGCATCTTTGCCCATCAGCTTGGGGTTTGGTTCCCTTTCCTAAAAGAAATGCTTGTATTGGAGGGTTTTACGGCATTCTGTGCATCTTCACCATTTGTAATCCAGCTAGCAAGAAGCAGGAGGGTACCAATAATAGGAATTTAAATGTTTAGTTTCACAATCAATTAACTTGAAAATAGTGTTTGGAGCCAGGCATGGTGGCTCAAGCCTGTCATCCCAGCACTCTGGGAGGCTGAGGCAAGAGGATTGCCTGAGCTCAGGGGTTCGAGACCAGCCTGGGCAACTTAGTGAGACCTTGTCTCCAAAACACCATAAAAAAAAAATTACCCGGGCACGGTGGCACATGCCTGTGGTTCCAGCTACTTGGAAGGCTGAGGAGAAAGGATCACCTGAGCCCAGCAGGTCGAGACTGCTATTGCTGTGAGTATACCACTGCACTCCAGCCTGGGCAACAGAGTGAGACTCTGACTCACAAAAAAGAAAGAAAGAAAATGGTGTTTGGCTTTTCAGATTTCTGAAAAATAATCATTTTTTAAAAGAAAATCTCAGCCAGGCTCAGGGACTCAACCTGTAATCTCAGTACTTTGGGAGACTGAGGCAAGTGAATTGCCTGAGTCTGTGGGTTCGAGACCAGCCCAGGCAACTTGGCGAGACCTCATCTCTACAATAAATCAAAAATAAGCCAGGTGTGGTTGCGCGCCTCTGGAGTTCCGGCTACTGGGAAGGCTGAGGGGGAAGGATTGCCGGAGCTCAGCAGATCGACACTGGGGTGGCCATGAGCGAGCCACTGCACTCTAGCCTGGGCGATGGAGTGAGACTCTAACTCAAAAAGAAAAAGAAAAAAAATCTCTTTGCATTGTTTTCTCTCAGGTATCTCCAATATTGTTCATGGGAAGAGGGGGAAAAAAGTCCAGGACTAAAAAGCAAAGCTAAAAAAGTCATGAACTCTTTTCTCTGGCCGGGTCCAGACTCATCCTCTCTCATTCAGCAGAAATTCTCGCCAGCAGACACGCAGCCTTCCCGGGGGGCCCCCATCTGTGGCACCTGTCATGAGGGGGCTCCTGGCGCTTGAACCTCTGCGCCCCCCCAGCCCGTCCCCGCGGTGTCTCCTCGCCCCTCAAGTGTAAGCCGAGCAAAAGGAAGGGCAGACCGTGAGGGGATGCCAGACGTCCCGCCCCGCGTGTGAGCAGAGGCTGCCGCTGCTCGGGGATGGAGGGCGCATAAGCCCTGTGTGAGGACCAGTGAAGAGAGCTGTTCTGTGACCCCCTGGCTGGAACCTCAGACTCTTTAGGCATGGTACACGCCCCACGGTCCTTAAGTCAGATTACTGTCAGAGGAAGAGCGGCAGAGCCCACGTCAACCTCACCCGTCGACCGTTTGTCACATTCTTTTCCTTGTTCCGAGAGCACCGAGTAAGACTGCTGCCCCTTTTCTGCGAACGATGCCCAAAGCGTCCATGAATGTAGCCTCGGCGTGAAAATCCCTGCTTCTCTTTATTCCGCCCCCAGAAAACAATCCTTCCTGGGCAGGGACAGGCATGGAATCCCGAGGGAAACTCACAAGCGAGGACAGCTCGCAGGCAACTTGCCAGGCATGAAGGATACCGGGTCATGGTTTCCACTGAGCTCACCTCCCATCAGACCCAACAATACGTTAATAAAAAAACATGCTGCTTCAGCCCCCTTCATGACTTCCTTGTTCGCGTTCTTTCTCTGCCCTGTGGGAAGGAGGATGGAAACCTGGGGGATCGCAGAGGGAGGTGGCTTTAGGAAAGCCTTGGACACGACCTTGGACTCAGAGGCAGGACTGGGCAGCAGTAAGATTGTGCTTGTTTGCCACTCTAGCGCCTAATACACATGCGTGGCCAAAAAAGTCCATGCCCTTCTGACCAGGAGGGTGACGATGGAATGATTTTCAAATCTTACGTGCTAAGTCAAGTGCTCCCTTTGTTCCCATTCTGACTCCTTCTGTCTTTTCCTGGTCTCTCAAGAAAAGCGGTATCTTTATTCCAATCTTAACAGGGTGGGATGACTTCAGGCTGAGTCAGCCTTTCCAAAATAAGTGCATTTTACAGCCATTGCTTTCCTCTGTCGTCTTTTTCTCACTCCCGTCCTAGGCACCCAGTCATTCTGGCAGATCTTGTCTCCCGAGGGAGGGAGGCCTGCCCACAGACTCTGGGTCTTGGGGGTTTCATGTCACCTCGGTGCAGTCCTAGGCTGGCAAGGCGAAGCTACGTCTTCATAACGACAAGCAGTCATGGGCCCCGTGTAAAGTGAGAGAAACGCTCTGTCATTGCGCGAGGGGAGGAGAGATGTGTGTC